AAAACATAAGGCACCAAAATATAGTGTCTAGACATCCATATTTGAAATCCTTCAATAATAATAAGCTTTTATTGATCATCACTGAGAAGGAAGCATTTCTTAGTGCTGAGTTCAGAATATCTGTAGGCTGCTTTGCCACAGGCATTGCATATTTGTCACAAACAACTGAAACATGCACATATAATTGTGGTAGATTATTTTTTTGTTCTTATGCAACTACACACACACACACAGAGAGAGAGAGAGAGAGAGAGAGAGAGAGAAATGCACGTGATCAAAGATAAAATCCCTCCAGAATGTATATGGGTAAAAGGGGAAAAGTGACATTGCCATAGGTGTATATTACAGGCCACCCAACCAATCAGAAGAAATAGATGGACTCTTTGCCAACCAGTTAACAAATGTATATAGGAAGCATACCACAGTAGTAATGGGAGACTTCAACTATCTAGATATCAACTGGGAGACAAAGTCTGCAGTGAGTGGGAAATCAAACAGATTTCTAACCAACCTAGGTGATAACTTTATCATCCAAAAGGTGGAGGAGGGAACTAGAAGTAAAGCTATACTGGAGCTAATCCTTACTAATTGAGAAGAAATGATAGAGGGAGTTGAAATTGCCAGAACCTTGGGTGCAAATGACTACATCATGCTGAAATTCAATATAATCCAAACACAAGCAATAGAAAATAATCCAACCAGAGTCTTAAACTTCAAAAGAGCTGATTTTAACAAACTCAGAGAGAATTCTAGGAAAGATTTCATGGATGAAAATTCTAAAGGGGAAAAGAATGCAAGCATGGGAAACTCTGAAAAATATGATCATAAAAGCCCAGTCCAGCACAATACCACTGAAAAAGAAAAACAAAAAACCAGCATGGCTGCACAAAGCTCACTCTTGACAAACTGAAAGACAAAAGGACAAGTACAAAAGATGGAAAGAGGGACACATAACTAAGGCTGATTATCAGCAGACAGCCAGAACATGCAAAGATGAAGTCAGGAAAGCAAAGGCTCAGAATGAACGAAGATTTGCAACAGAAATCAAGGACAATCAAAAAAGTTTATTTCAACATATTAATAACGAAAAAAGTCAATGAAATGGTAGGTCCATTAAAGAGAGAAGATGGCAAGGAAGTAACAAGCAGTAGGGAGAAAGCAGAGCTGCTTAATTCATTCTTTGCATCAGTCTTCACACAAAAAGAAATTATAGCCCAACATACCAAAAAAAAAAAAAAAATTACTGCAAAAGACAAACTAGAAACAAAAACTAAAATAAGCAAGAAAATGTTAAGAGAACACCTATCCAACCTTGATGAGTATAAATCACCAGGATCTGACAGATTACAACCTAGAGTTCCTAAAGAGCTGGCAGATGTTATTTCAGAACCATTGTACCATATATTTCAAAACTCTTGGAGCACAGGGGAAGTACCTGAGGATTGGAAAAGGGATGATGTGGTTCCCCTCTTCAAGAAAGAGAAAAAAAAACATATTCAGGAAACTATAGACCAATCAGTCTAACATCAATAGCTGGGAAGATCCTGGAAAAGATAATAAAAAAACAGATCTGCAAACAACTAGAAGTAAACAAAGTTATAATCAGTAGCCAGGACGGGTTTGTCAAAAACAGATCATACCAAATCAATCTTATTTCATTCTTTGATAAAGTGACTAAATTAGTAGACCAGCGAAATGCTGTGGACATAGTAGACTTCAGTAAGGCATTTGAAAAAGTAGACCACAACCTGCTGCTTAGTAAGCTAGAAAAAGGTAGGATAGACAATAACACCATCAGATGGATCTGCAGCTGGCTGACAAACCATACTCAGAGAGTAGTCCTCAATGGTATTACATCTACATGGAGAGAAGTAAGCAGTGGGTTACCACAAGGCTTCATCTTAGGCCCAGTACTTTTCAATATCTTAATCAATTACTTAGATGAGGGAATTGAAGGGGAATTCATCAGATTTGCAGATGACACTAAACTAGCAGGAATAGCCAACACCCCAAAAGTCAAGCTCAGGATCCAAAACGATTTTGACAAACTTGAACAATGGGCCCTATCCAACAAAATGAGTTTTAATGTGGAGAAAAGCAAAGTTTTACATTTAGACAGGAAAAATCAAAGGTACAAGTACAGATTAGGTGAGACCTGGCTCAAAAACAGTAACTGTGAGAGTGACCTTGGAGTCCTACTGGGCGATCACTTGACTATGAGCTAGCCGTGTGCAGCAGCAGCTAAAAAAGATAATAGAATCCTGGGTTGTATAAACAGAGACATAGAATCAAGATCAAATGAAGTATTAGTACCGCTTTATAAAACCTAGTTAAGATCACGCCTGGAATACTGCAACCAATTTTGTTCACCATACTACAAAAAAGATGTTGAGATCTTGGAAAAAAATCAAAGAAGAGCAACTAAGATGATCAAAGACCTGGAGATTAAAACATATGAAGAACGTCTGCAGGACTTGGGTGTTGTGGTTCCGGCTAATGAAACATTCCAAAGAACTTCCAGGCATTTATTTTCCTAAAAGTCTTTTATTGTTACAAAATGTCAGCACAGGCACAACGGAGGGATGCTAGAATCTAAGTTCGCTTCCTCTGAGCAGTTAAATTATCAGCATGTTCCCTCCCTAAATTAACCCTCATATCTCACATTATCCAATTAGTGTGAAGGTCAAATGTTTTCTTCCTCTTTCTTTCCCGAGCTTTACCCCCAAACCCCTTCTCTCTTTATTAACCCCATATTTACCAGACAATTCTGCATATTGTCAAAAGCAAGAATATACAATATTTGCAGCGTTGACATTGGGTTTGGGTAATCTAAAGAAAAGAAATGAGTGACATGATAGCAGTATTCCAGTATTTGAGGGCTGCCACAAAAAAAAGGGGGGGTCAGTCTATTATCCAAAGCACCAGAGGACAGGACAAGAAACAGTGGTTGGAAACTGACCAAAAAGAGAAGCAGGGGGTTGGACTAGAAGATGTCCAAGATCCTTTCCAGCTTTATTCTATTCTAAACCCTTTAGTTGAAGTTTATAGTCTGTGAACTCAACAGTTCTCACAAAACAGCTTATGTTTAGTCATGCCTTGGTCATTTCCTCATTGGATTATTGCAGTACATCCATATGAGGCAAAGACTATCTGGAAATTACAACTGTTCCTAAATATTGCAGTGCGTGCATTTCTTGGCAGTCCATAGTTTACTCATATTACATTGCTGCTGCAAAAGCTATCAACCAATCAGAATAGAGCTGGAAGGGAACTTGGAGGTCTTCTAGTCCAAACCCCTGCTCAAGGAGAAGATCCTATACAATTTGAGACAAGTGGCTATCCAATCTCTTCTTAAAAACCTCCAGTGATGAAGCACCCTCAATCACTGAAGGCAAGCTATTCCATTGGTTAATTGTTCTCACTATTAGAAAGTTTCTTCTTAATTTCAGGTTGCTTCTCTCCTTGATTAGTTTCCATCCATTGTTTCTTGTCTTGTCTTCTGGTGCTTTGGAAAATAAGTTGACCCTCTCTTCTTTGTGGCAGACCCTCAAATACTGGAATCTACTGCTATCATGTCACCCCTAGCCCTTCTTTTCTCTAGACTAGCCATACCTAGTTTCTGCAACCGTTCTTCATGTTTTTGCCTCGGGGCCTTTAATCATCATAGTTGCTCTGCTCTGCACTTTTTCCGACATCTTTTTTGTAATGTGACCAAAATTAGATACAGTATTCCAGGTGTGATCGTACTAAAGTTTTGTAAAGCTGTACTAAAGAGATTCTATGCCTCTCTTTATACAACCAAGGATTGTATTAGCTTTTTTGGGTGCTGCTGCACACTGCTGGCTCATGTTTAAGTGATCGTCCACTAGCACTCCAAGGTCCCTCTCACAGTTACTGTTTTTGAGCCAGGTTTCACCTAATCAGTATTTGTACCTTTGGTTTTTCCTACATAAGTGTAAAGCCTTTTCTCCACATTAACTTTCATTTTGTTGGATAGGACCCTTTGTTCAAATGGAAGCAGTATGCTTTTCATTTTCTCTCCAGTGCAATTCCAATTTCAAATCATTTAAAGCTCAAAATGATTATTACTTTCAAAGCCCTAAATGACTTGCAGGACCATGTCTCCCTGAGGGTATCCCATTCCATCCATTTCCCCAGATTAAGATATGATAGGAATACTCCAGATCCCATCCTTTAAATGTTGTCATTTGGAAATGTGCCTCCTCCATATCTTTCACTGCCCACTGGAATACCCTTTCTCCTGCAGATCCAGCAGAGTCCTATTCCCTTGGTCTTCTGGAAGGCGTTGAATAGCTGGGTTATCCTACTAGTGTTAGGAAGGAATGAGGCTGAAGCCCAGAAGGTAGAATCCTGATGTCTGTGAAAGTATTGTCTTAGGGTACCAGGAATTGTTACTGCAGTGGTTCTTAACCTTTTTAATGCCGCGACCCCCAGCCAATAGAATTAGACTCTATTCAAGAGAGTCTATTCTATTGGCTTTCAAAAGCCAATAGAATAAAAAGGAGTAGCACAGCTAAGGAAAAGGGGAAAAAATGGCGGACTGCGTTGTTTGGCGATCCCCGTGAAATGGTCGTTCGACCCCAAATGGGGTCCCGACCCACAGGTTGAGAACCACTGTGTTACTGTAATTGTTGGAAATTTTGATATTTTTTATTTTGTGAGCTGCTCAGGGTTAAAGTTCACAATATAAGCAGCTATATAAACTTTTTAAAATAAAGTTGAATGCTTACGGGGAGTTTGGGAGACATTAAAAACTGAAATATGCAACTTATGGTCAGATAATTTATCTGAAATTGTATCATTTGTTAAATTTTAGGTAATGTGTTATAGATTTGACTGGTTGAACAATTTGGTAGCCTTTTCTTTATCAGGGATAGCTGATAGTTGCTGCCCTTGTATATGTGTCTACAAAGATTTTAAATTTTTCTTTCACTACATGCTCAGCAAATGAAAATAACAAACATATATCTTTTTCATAGGTACAATGGCTGCCTCCCTAATGGTGACCGGGGTCGTAGGAAAAGCAGATTTGCCCTTTATAAAAGACCTAAAGCAAATGGCGTCAAACCTAGCACTGTTCATGTGATTTCAACACCTCAAGCATCTAAGGTATTGTCACTAATTCTCAGAGCTTGGGCCTTAATGCTAAGTTTTGCAAAGCAGCAATGATTGAATGTGTTGGTGACTATATATTCTACGGTGGTTATTCCTTTCTGGTGCTGGAAGGTAATTTTTTTTGCATAGAGCATACTTTATTGGGTCTTTGAGTACAATGATATTTGCATTCAGAATTCTTTCATCTGGGCTAATAAATAGATATTGACAAAATGTTTCAAATCTACAATTTCTGAATTTGAATGTTCTTTAAACTCTGATGTTCTGTGTCTAAATCACACTAGCTGTTTGATGTTACTGGAAATATATAGTCCTATTCCAATTTTCCAGAGGTTGTCCATACTCAAAGAAGTATGGACAACCCCCCCCATAACCATTCGAAGGGGGTTGGGGCATTTTGAGTCTTAAAATAACTATGGAATACTTTTTACAAAGTGAGAACAAAACCCATGTTGAAACTTTAAAATCTCAGACTGGAATGCATTTCAAAATTTAATTCATAGTCATGGATTCATAAATGCATGGACAATTATGAATCCTACAATGAAAGTGCATACACTGTATTCAGGTAGACATGAATCCCACTGTAGGATATACTGTATACAAACATTTAAACCAGGGGTGTCAAACTGCCTATGAATGTAAATTTATATTTAATTAATATTTTTTCCAATTTAAAATATAACTATCCAATTAGAAAATTATTGAATACTATAGAAATTAATAAAACCAATTAATCTTCATTAGCAATGTGTTCTTTAGATATATTTAAAGTTTAAAGCCTTTGATTCTCTGGAAATAGCATTTTTAAAACAAATATTAAATAAATCCAGGTTTGGGACTGGCTGTTGTAAGATGATCGAACATACATATGGACCAACTGAAGTGCGGATAAGACTTAACAGCTATGATTCAGATTCTATTGTGATTTTAAAAAGTACAAAGCAGGGTTATCTCTTATCACCTGTATTATTCAGTCTAGTTATAGAAGTGCTGGTAACATCACTTAGATCAACAATTAGATTTACTGGATAAAATTGGGAGATACACACATACACATGATTTTTCCCAATGTTGGAGACATTCTCAAAAAAAAAATCCCATATTTTTTTCCATTTGTAGTGGTCATTTGATAAAGCTACATCCTTTTGGTGTAAAAGTTTTGGAGATAAGTAACATCACTAAACAAAAAAAATGATGTTTCCAAGTTGGTTTATTGCATTTATTTACAGGATGAAACCTTAAAAATATGAAACATATCTGTGTAATTTTAGCAGTCAAAACAATAATTGCACAACATAGAAAAACTCCAGATAACATAACATTTGAGATTTGAATTAACAAGGTCTCTTCAATTGCCATGTTAGAAAAAAAATCACAGATAAAGTTTAAATAATGAGCTATCAGAAGCAGGACAACAGTGTTATCAGATTTGGGTGGATTTTATGATTTATCTCAACAACAACAGACCAGTATAGGGTATACTTTACATATATGATTAATTTGTGCATAAGCAGTATCGGTTTCTTTATTTACATTGTAGTAGTACTTTTTTTTATATTTTCTGTATCTTTTTTTTTCTTTAACAGTTACCTGATACTGTTTTTTAATCACAGTTCAATAAACATAATGGGAAAATATGAAAAAGTTTTTATGCTTTTAAAATTATTGTATAAGGTATGGTTTCTGGGTGAGCTAGTGCTGTTTCTGAAATACATAAATAATTCCGAAAACTTTAGCGAAGACAAATATCATTTTATATTTCTTTTATGGTTGCTTAAGGAGCTGTAGCCTAAACCAAAACAACTAAACGTACTTTTGCTTGTTCTACCAGTATAGTAGCATGATTTCCAAACATAGAAGAATACTGTTTCCTTCTTTGAATAAAATCCATGTTAGAATAAACACTTAAATTATCTTAGATACATAACATATTTTAAAGATAGTTTCTTAGTACTGAATTGTTATTCTGTAAATGTAAATTCCCATTGATTTGTCTTATGGAATACAATGGTTTGGCGTATGTTTAGTATCCCTTGCAAGTTAATATGTTATAACCATCTTCATTGTACAAGTAGTCTTCAACTTACAACAATTAATTTAGTGACTGTTCATAGTTACAACATTAGTGAAAAAAATGAGTTATGGCAGTTTTCCACACTTATGACAGTTGCAAGATCCCTATGGTCACACGATCAAAATTCAGATGCTTGGCAGCTGGTTCATATTTATGACAGTTGCAGTCTCCCAGGGTCATGTGATCACCTTTTGTGGCCTTCTAAAAAGCAAAGTCCATGGGAAAGTCAGATTCACTTAAGAACTGTGTTATTTATTTAACAACTGCAGTGATTCACTTAACAACAGTCTTACTTAATAACATAAATTTTGGGTTCAATTGTAGTTGTTAAGTTGAGGACTATTGTAGTTGGTTGTATCTAACTACAGCCTTTTCCTGGCTGCTCATGTTCCAGACATATTCTTACTCCTGACACTTAAAACAAGGATCTCTAATAGCATCCTTTATGCTTGCTTGTCTGTGTATTTGAAAAAGTGCCTGGGCAAGTAGATAATTAACTGTTTCTAGTGGGTTTCATGTATGTCCTCTTATACTTCTTGATTTTTCTGATCACTTGTAGGACCAGATTGGGGAAACTCTTTTGTTTGATTTTTTTTATCCAATTTCAATTTCTTCAGGGGTTTTTTTGGCAGGTGGGGGGCATCACTACATGAAGTTCTAAAAACTAGAATGTATTTATGTCAAGATGTTTAAAATATAACAGGCCAAATAGATTCAGAATCAGAATAGAGCTAGAAGGGACCTTGGAGGTCTTCTGGTCCAACCCCCTGCTCAAGCAGGAGACCCTATACCATTTCATACAGGTGGCTGTCCAGTATTTTCTTTAAACTCTCCAGTGATGAAGGACCTGGATGAAGGCAAGCTGTTCTACTGGTTAATTCACTGCTGTGATTTTCACATAATGGTAAACTATAACGTGTTTTTGACTGAATGGGATGTATGATGAAATGGTAGTAAACCATAGTTAGTAAACATAGTTTACTGCTGACTTATAAATCTTGATATATTTTAGTATGTTTGAAATCACTATCCTAGTTCATTTTTATGTGTTTCATCTCCTCACTAATTTCTTCTAGGTATTCAGGAAGAAAAAAGATAAAAATGTAGAATAGGCTATAATTGCTTTGTCTGCAACTTTAGTTTATTCCACAAACTATGCTTAAAATAAAATCTGACTAACTATTATGTATCCTCACAGCAATTTCTTTCCAAATTTGTAATTTAAAAAGCAGCCTTCCTCAATCAGGGTGCCCTTTAATTAATTAGATTTGAACATGCAAAATACCTAGTGACTTTATTAAACCCTTCAGACTAGATCAGACTAGGACAGCAACATTATGTAGATCAGTGCTCCTTCTATTGTAAAGTTTCAGTAACAGAATCTTTCTCTTTCCCCTCCCTCTCTTTATCTTTGTGCATACTAGGATGGGACGTCTTAGACTTTTACTTACATCACATTTTGGCCCAAGCTCAGGCTTTAGTAACCATTGCCTTGGCAGTGGCTTTTTCTCCTGCCTCTGCCCTCTACCCAGCCTGCCCATTATATTCTAAAAGTCCACATAGAGAATGTGGATATTGTCTACATTGGGTAATTGGGAAGAAGGGAGAGTAGGAATTGAAATTGACGAAATATGTATCAGTTCTGAATTTCTGACTCTTCTTTATTTTGAAAATTAAAAGGCAGCTTCTTCCAACATGAATATCACTATTCACTCCTATATGGAGATATTTTAGTTAAAATAAGTATTTAAATTGATTGCCACTAAGAGACTGTAAACTGACAGCTAAATCCTGCAGAATGTTAGTGAGATATAAATAGGCATCACTCCCGGCTTTATAAGTTGGAAGACAGACAGGGGAATAATGCTGCTTTTCAGAATATATAATTATTCTGGAACCAGAAATGCATATTTATGGCAAGTGACTAAAAAGCACTCCCAATACATCATCTGCTTTTCCCAAGTCCTCCTTTTTCATTGTATCTTTTTATTTATGTATTCATTAAGCTTATATGCCATCCAGTTTGCCTTGAGGTGACTCTCTAGGCAGTTTACAATCAATTAAAAACAACAAGATAAAACATTTAAAACATTAAAACAATAAATAGTAACACTAGAAATTAGTTAAAATTGATGAAGATGGGAGGGAAGGGAGCAAGATACACACAGGAAAAGGGTGGGATTTATCTTAATCCATTAACCACCTTCAGAATGACATATCCTAATTGGGCCCAGACAGTTGGCAAAGCCAGATCTTCAGGCCCTTTCGGAAGGTCAAAGCCTTTTCTGACTGATTATATTTGTACTCTTGGGAGTTAAATGTGAGCTGAGAAAACTCTTTAATTAAAACATCATTTTAATTATTTTAAGGTCTGTCTTTCTCTGACACACACACACACACACACACACACACACACACACTCACACACTTTTCAGGAGAGATTGCCAAAATGCAACATAATAGAGCTGGGTAATGATTTATATTCAAGGGAGAAAAGGTGACTCAGAGTTTGTAGGGGTGCTCATGTTGTATTTGGGGCTCAAGGTTGACTCAGCCTTCCATCCTTCCAGAGTCAGTAAAATGAGGACCCAGATTGTTGGGGGCAATATGCTGACTCTGTAAACCGCTCAGAAAATGCTGTAAAGAACTATGTAGTGGTATGTAAGTCTAAGTGCTATTGCTAACTCCATAAAGAAGTTAAATCTTTGCTCAGTCTCAGGAAAAGACAAACGTATTAATAGACTATGAAAGCAGAGGGATAATAACACAGATTTAATACAGTAGACCAGCAGGAAACGTCTCACATCAGGATGAAAAAATAATCCCTAACCATTAGTAATAAAATCGCAACTTGTGTTTTTTTATACAAACATCAGAAACAGACTGCGAACAACGGAAGAAGTTGCGGCAATGAACA